GCTCCTTCATCGTACATCCGTCCATCCTCCGCTCCTTCATCGTACATCCGTCCTTCATCGTCCTTCCTCCGCTCCTTCATCGTACATCCGTCCATCCTCCGCTCCTTCATCGTACATCCGTCCTCCGCTCCTTCGTCGTACATCTGTCCATCCTCCGCTCCTTCATCGTACATCTGTCCATCCTCCCGCTCCTTCATCGTACATCGTCCATCCTCCGCTCCTTCATCGTACATCCGTCCATCCTCCGCTCCTTCATCGTACATCCGTCCATCCTCCGCTCCTTCATCGTACATCCATCCTCCGCTCCTTCGTCGTCCATCTGTCCATCCTCCGCTCCTTCATCGTACATCCGTCCATCCTCCCTCCGCTCCTTCGTCGTACATCCGTCCATCCTCCGCTCCTTCATCGTACATCTGTCCATCCTCCGCTCCTTCATCGTCCATCCGTCCATCCTCCGCTCCTTCATCGTACATCGTCCATCCTCCGCTCCTTCATCGTCCATATCCGTCCATCCTCCGCTCCTTCATCGTACATCTGTCCATCCTCCCCTCCTTCATCGTACATCGTCCATCCTCCGCTCCTTCATCGTACATCGTCCATCCTCCGCTCCTTCATCGTACATCTGTCCATCCTCCTCCTTCATCGTACATCCGTCCATCCTCCCCCTCCTTCATCGTACATCGTCCATCCTCCGCTCCTTCATCGTACATCTGTCCATCCTCCGCTCCTTCATCGTACATCCGTCCATCCTCCGCTCCTTCATCGTACATCCGTCCTCCCTCCTCTCCTTCATCGTACATCCGTCCATCCTCCGCTCCTTCGTCGTACATCTGTCCATCCTCCGCTCCTTCATCGTACATCGTCCATCCCCCGCTCCTTCATCGTACATCCGTCCATCCTCCTCCGCTCCTTCATCGTACATCCGTCCATCCTCCCGCTCCTTCATCGTACATCCGTCCATCCTCCGCTCCTTCATCGTACATCCGTCCATCCTCCGCTCCTTCATCGTCCATCCATCCTCCGCTCCTTCATCGTACAATCCGTCCATCCTCCCTCCTTCATCGTACATTCCTGTCCATCCTCCTCCGCTCCTTCATCGTACATCCGTCCATCCTCCGCTCCTTCATCGTCCATGTCCATCCTCCGCTCCTTCATCGTACATCCGTCCATCCTCCCCTCCTTCATCGTACATCCGTCCATCCTCCCCCCCTTCATCGTACATCGTCCATCCTCCCCCTCCTCATCCGTCCATCCTCCGCTCGTCATCATCCGTCCATCCTCCCCTCCTTCATCGTACATCTGTCCATCCTCCGCTCCTTCATCGTACATCCGTCCATCCTCCCCTCCTTCATCGTACATCCGTCCATCCTCCGCTCCTTCATCGTACATCTGTCCATCCTCCGCTCCTTCATCGTACATCCGTCCATCCTCCCCTCCTTCATCGTACATCGTCCATCCTCCGCTCCTTCATCGTACATCGTCCATCCTCTCCCTCCTTCATGTACATCTGTCCATCCCCTCCTTCATCGTACATCTGTCCATCCTCCGCTCCTCATCCGTCCATCCTCCCCTCCTTCATCGTACATCCGTCCATCCTCCGCTCCTTCATCCCTCCTCCCTCCTTCGTCGTACATCCGTCCATCCTCCCCTCCTTCATCGTACATCCGTCCATCCTCCCCTCCTTCATCGTACACATCGTCCATCCTCCGCTCCTTCATCGTACATCCGTCCATCCTCCCCTCCTTCATCGTACATCCTGTCCATCCTCCCCTCCTTCATCGTACATCCGTCCATCCTCCCCTCCTTCATCGTACATCTGTCCGTCCATCCTCCCCTCCTTCATCGTACATCTGTCCCTCCCCTCCTTCATCGTACATCCGTCCATCCTCCCTCCTTCATCCTTCATCGTACACCTGTCCTTCCTTCCGCTCCTTCATCAATCTAGTTGCTGGCAGATCTATAGCAGATTGTACAATCAGATTGTAATGTGTTGTGAGCTTCACAGACAGGATGGGGGGGGGGGGGGGGTCATGAGCCGCGGTACTTCCAGGCACAAAGGGATTGATGTTCACAGTTGGCCAATATCGGTTCATCCCATCGTGACACGAGATCAGATCTGGGGATCCCAATAAAAATGGCGGCGGTGGCTGTCTTGTACAATCAGATTGTAACTAAAAGTCGAACTTTTCAGAAAGGGGTGGGGCAACCACGAGCTGACACCTCCACCACCACGTTCACAGTTGGCCAACATTTGTTCATTTCGGATAACATAAAGTCCATTGGATCCCAATAAAAATGGCGGCGGTGGGGCTCTCCCTGTACAATCAGATTGTACCGTGTGTAGGGAGCTATACAGAGTAGAGGGGAAGCACAAGCCAACTGTTGACCAACATTTGTTTCCCCCCCCCCGACAGAAGACCAGATCTGAGCGCCCAATGACATACAATCATCTGGATTCCGATAAAAAATGGGCGGCGGTGGTGCGGCGGCACTCCCTGTAGAATCAGATTGTAACGTGCGTGGTGAGCATTACGGTCCCTCATTGGCCAATGTCTGTTCATCCCCCACAGGCACATCAGATCTGGGCGCCAGATGACATAAGTCGGCTGACTCTCAATAAATACGGTGGTGGTGGCGCGGCGGTTCTCCCTGTACAGATTGCAACGTGTTTGGAGGGGGCCGTGAGTTGGGGTTGAAGTTCACCGTTGGACTGTTCATCATCCCCCCCACCCCCCCAACGAAAGACCAGATCTGGGCGCCAGATGACGTCAAATCATCCAGATCCCAGTAAAAATGGCGCAGCGGCTCTTCTCGTACAATCAGATTGTAATGTGTGTGGTGAGGGGGGGCCCGCCAGCAGAGGATGAAGTTCACCGCTGACCCACGTCTGCCCATCCCCCGCAGTCACAAGATCAGATCCATGACATAAAAGTCGTCTGGATCTCGATAAAACCCGCCGGCGCTGTGATTGGCGTGTCTGTGGGATCGCAGTCCAGGCTGCAGCAGCCGTGTGTAATCCTGCATAACGGCACTGCAGAGCCGGAGATCACAGAGCATGCCGCACCCCCCCCCCCCCCCCCCCCCGCCCAGCATGGAAATCCGGCCGAGCGGCACTGCAGAGAGGGGGGGGGGCTGTGATTATACCGCCCCCCAATCCTGTATCTGACCTCCTCGCTGCTTTCACTTCGCATAAAAACAGGTTTTTTTTTTAACCGCCAACGATGGAAGATTTACGCTTCGCTGGGGAGGTTCTGCAGCAGCTACAACCCCCCCCCCCCCCGTCCATCACCCCCCCGACGCCCCCATCACCCCCCCACCACCCTCCCATCACCCCCCATCACCCCCCCATCTCTGGAGGTCAGCGGAGGCGCATGCTGGCGCGATTATATCACCGGACAAAGCCGGGTAATTCGCTGCCTAATCCGTTCGGCTTTGTTATTGCTGCACGTGACGCGGGATCCTGCGGGGGCCACTGGGGGGCGCAACAAAGCAGAGACAAGGGGGGGGCAGAGGGGGGGCAGACACCGCAGCATCTTCATGCCGGTTTATGAATCTGAACCGAATCCAAGAAATCCGGTTTAGGGTGGGGAACTCCCCGTCTCCCTCCGACACATGGGTGGACTGACAACTCATGGGGCCCCCGGGCAATAGGGGATCATGGGGCCCCTGTGTCCTTGCCCAAACTCAAAAAAGCCTATGAAAAAGGTACCAGGGGCATCTCATGGGGCCCCCTACTGACCCCGGGCCCTCGGGCAGTGCCTGAGTTTCCAAATGGTCAGTCCGCCCCTGGCTCCGACACCCCGTCTCCCTCCAACACCCCGCACGGGTCTCATTGCCGCCATCCGGATCTGCAGCCCCGAGTTAGAGACCGACCGCAATACCGCAATTACAGGGCGGGGCACCGCCAGCTCCGCCCACAACTGATATCTGGAATATCCCACAATGCCCCCCCCCTCCGTATCCCACAATGTATCCCACCCCCCCCCTGTATCCCACAATGCCCCCCCCCGTATCCCACAATGCCCCCCCCTGTATCCCACAATGCCCCCCCCCTGTATCCCACAATGCCCCCCCCCGTTGTATCCCACAATGCCCCCCCCTGTATCCCACAATGCCCCCCCCCTGTATCCCACAATGCCCCCCCCCGCCCCCCCCGCCGTATCCCACAATGCCCCCCCCCCCTGTATCCCACAATGCCCCCCCCCCCCCCCGCCGTATCCCACAATGCCCCCCCCCCTGTATCCCACAATGCCCCCCCCCCCCCCCCCCTGTATCCCACAATGCCCCCCCCCCCCGCCGTATCCCACAATGCCCCCCCCCCTTTGTATCCCACAATGCCCCCCCCGCCGTATCCCACAATGCCCCCCCCCTGTATCCCACAATGCCCCCCCCCCTGTATCCCACAATGCCCCCCCCCGTATCCCGTATCCCACAATCCCCCCCCCCCCTGTATCCCACAATGCCCCCCCCCCGCCGTATCCCACTTTGTCCCCCCCCTTTGTATCCCACAATGCCCCCCCTTTGTATCCCACAATGCCCCCCCCTCCATATCCCACAATGCCCCCCCCGCCGTATCCCACAATGCAATATGTGGCCCCAGGAACCTACTGGAGGGTGTCCGGCGTTGCAATGTGGGGGGAGGGGTCTCGAAGCTGACCTTACTGAAAGTCGAAATTTGCATACTGCAGACAACCTCCCATCCTGAGATTATAGCAGCAATGCTGAAACCAGAGGCGGGGCAACGACACCTGGGGGGGGGGGGTTCCCACCATCCCTGTGCTGAGTTCCCGGGTCTGTACGCCCACTGTGCCCATTATGAGGGGTTCCCACCATCCCTGTGCTGAGTTCCTGGGTCTGTACGCCCGCTGTGCCCATTATGAGGGGTTTCCCACCATCCCTGTGCCGAGGGGTTCCCGAGTCTGTACACCCGCTGTGCCCATTATGAGGGGTTCCCACCATCCCTGTGATGAGTTCCCGGGTCTGTACCCCTGCTGTGCCCATTATGAGGGGTTCCCACCATCCCTGTGCCGAGTTCCCGGGTCTGTACGCCCGCTGTGCCCATTATGAGGGGTTCCCACCATCCCTGTGCTGAGTTCCTGGGTCTGTACGCCCGCTGTGCCCATTATGAGGGGTTCCCACCATCCCTGTGCCGAGTTCCCGAGTCTGTACGCCCGCTGTGCCCATTATAAGGGGTTCCCACCATCCCTGTGATGAGTTCCCGGGTCTGTACCCCCGCCGTGCCCATTATGAGGGGTTCCCACCATCCCTGTGCTGAGTTCCGGAGTGTTCTAGATCAGGATTGGACGGACAGGCCGCTGTCAGGAGATGTGCCCTGTACCCCTGCCCCCACCAGGTTTCTCGGAGTCTCTCCAGGATCCGGCTTCTCACCACGCATGACCTGTACGCCTGTGTGAAAGGCGAGTTGCGGCTGCAATTGGGTCGGATAGCTGAAGGGTTTTCAGGAAGGAGGGCGATGCGCTGGGGAGCTCCCCGGTGACAGGAACCAATCAGACGCCGTGAAACAGCAGCCAGCTGAGCACAACGCACTCTCCCCGTGACAGGAACCAATCCAGCAGCCAGGAGCCCCACTCCCCGTCCCGAGGGCCCTGCGTGTCTTCCGTGCGTTTTACAGGCGCTTTCCTTCACTTCATCCTCATCGTTTCCGGAATCCGGCGCCCGCGTTCTGCTGGAAATGTGGACATGTGACGGTTACAACGCACGGTGCGTTTCAGTGCGTTTTCTATGCGATGCCACTAAGTACAATGTCAGGCGGCATTCACGCTCAATACAAAACGCATGACCACGAAATCCTACGGAACGCTTCGCACTGGTCAGTCGCCGGCCTGCTGGTTTTTTTTTCCGTTTGCTGCATTTTCGGTAAAAAAACGCACCAAAACGCACCTCCCCATTGAAATGAATGGAAAACATCGAAATGCACCCGCGGCTGCGTTTTTGGTGCGTTTTCTTGAGATCTATGTCCTATTTCCACAGGTGAAAAAAACACACCGGAAACGCAGAAAAACGCATGGCTTACAGTGCAAAGTAGCCAAACGCACGTTTTAACCTAAAGGGTTTCTTCAAAACACAACGCACAACCCTCCAACGCGACGTAGAAAAACGCATGACCATTAAATCCTATGGAACGCGTCGCACTGGTCAGTTGTCGGCCCATTGTGTGGTTTTTTTTTCCCCGTTTCCTGCATTTTCGGTAAAAAAAAACGCACCTCCCCATTGAAATGATTGGAAAACGCATCACAAACGCATCAAAATGCACACATGGCTGCGGTTTTGCTGTTTTTTGAGTTCCATGTCCTATTTCCACAGGTGAAAAAACGCGCCGGAAACGCAGCAAAAACGCACGGTTTACCAGTTTGAAAGTAGCCAAACATGCGTTTTGACAAAAAGGATTTCTTCAAAACGCAACGCACAACCCTCCGACGCAACGTAGGAAAACGCATGACCATTAAATTGTACGGAACGCTTCATACTGGTCAGTTGCCGGCCCGTTGCATTTTTTTTTTCCTGTTTGCTGTATTTTCGGTAAAAAAAAAAAACGCATCAAAACACAACTCTCCATTGAAATGAATAGAAAACGCATCAAAATACACATGTGGCTGCGTTTTCTTGAGTTCCATGTCATTTCCACAGGTGAAAAAATGCACCGGAAATGCGGCAGAAACGCATGGTTTACAGTGCGAAAGTAGCCAAACATGCGTTTTAATGAAAAGGATTTCTTTAAAACGCAACGCACAACCCTCCAACGCAACGTAGGAAACCGGCCGCTTGTAGTCTTCGTGGAAAGCCTGTGTGCCACGCTGACAACGCAGGAGCAGAATTGGGAGGCGGGGACAACGTGTTGTCACCCCATAACAGGAAATGCTTGAACAAGGGCTGCCACGGCGGGATCGCCAGGGATTGGTTTTCTAGAAAGCAGATTGAATTGTCTGAGCGATCGGATTGCTTTGTGAATAGGAAGCTCCTCCCCCGAACCCTCGCCTTCATACCCCGTATTTATGGTGGGCGGTCTCTCTGTCTGTACCATGGGAGGAGGCGGAGCCAACACTGACTTTAGAAGCCGAAGTCAAAATTTGCATTGCAGAGCTCCCTGTGCGGTTCAGGTGTTCCGGTCCCCAAAAAGGCTGCAAGCGACCAGGGGCGGACTGACAGCACATGGGGCCCCTGGGCAATAGGGGGTCATGGGGCCCCCGGGCAATAGGGGGTCATGGGGCCCCCGGCAATAGGGGGTCATGGGGCCCCCAGGCAATAGGGGGTCATGGGGCCCCCAGGCAATAGGGGGTCATGGGGCCCCTGTGTCCTCACCCACACTCAAAAAAGCCTATTAAAGGTACCAGGGGCATTTCATGGGTCCCCCTACTGACTCTGGGCCCCCGGGCAGTGCCTGAGTGCCGGAATGGTCAGTCCGCCCCTGCAAGCGACTGTCTGTGATGCATTGCATAAGGAGGGGGTCACGTGACCCCCCATATCCAGAAGTAGCGGGAGGGGGGGGGGGGGGCTGTGAATTTCCCAGAGCGCTAGCTTCTCATTGGGACATTTTTGTAGACTGAGAGGTGAGGCTGAAGGATGTGACTGCATTGTGTGCAATGGCTACTTTATGAATTCATCAGCAATTCCTGATACAGAACCCACCCCCCCCCCCCCCCGCTCATTGCTCGCCATCGCACTGCGCTCCATGCACCCGCCGCAGATCCACCTTAGGCAGGCCATAGACGGGTCGTTTATCGGCTGAATTTTTCGGCCGATAAACGAAAAAAATCGGTCGGCGCCGTTGCTGCCACCATCGTCCACAAAAAAAAAACGGCCACTTTTCGTGGATTTTCCAGCATGACATAAAAGGCAGGTCATAGACGGGTCGTTTATTGGCCGAATTTTCAGCCGTCAAACGAAAAATCGGTCGGCGCCGTTGCCAATGCTGCCACCAAGCGGGACGATCCACAAAAAATGGCCGACGGGCGGGTCCCACTAACGGCGTGAATATCGGCCGATTTTTCGTGCAGATGACCCGTCTATGGCCTGCATGACAGCCGACGCAGATCCCGACGCCGCAGAGGCCGGGCGCAAAAACGTTTTATAAACGAAAGACGACCGTTTTAGTAAAGACGCCATCGCCGGGGAGGAACAGCCGGCACCATCGCCGGGAGGAACAGCCGGAACCATCGCCGGGGAGGAACAGCCGGAACCATCGCCGGGGAGGAACAGCCGGCACCATCGCCGGGGAGGAACAGCCGGAACCATCGCCGGGAGGAACAGCCGGAACCATCGCCGGGGAGGAACAGCCGGCACAATCGCCGGGGAGGAACAGCCGGCACCATCGCCGGGGAGGAACAGGCGGAACCATCGCCGGGGAGGAACAGCCGGAACCATCGCCGGGGAGGAACAGCCGGCACCATCACCGGGGAGGAACAGCCGGAACCATCACCGGGGAGGAACAGCCGGCCGGAGGAACAGCCAGCATCGCCGGGGAGGAACAGCCGGACCATCGCCGGGAGGAACAGCCGGAACCATCGCACGGGGAAGCACAGCCGGAACCATCGCCGGGGAGGAACAGCCGGAACCATCGCCGGGGAGGAACAGCCGGAACCATCGCCGGGGAAGCACAGCCGGAACCATCGCCGGGGAGGAACAGCCGGAACCATCGCCGGGGAAGCACAGCCGGAACCATCGCCGGGGAGGAACAGCCGGAACCATCGCCGGGGGGAGGAACAGTCGGCACCATCGCGGGGAGGAACAGCCGGCTCCATCGCCGGGGAACCATCCTGGCTCGTCCGCCTTCCCTGGAAAAGCGCAGAAAGTGCGTCACGCTGGGTTTAACGCTTGCGCCCATTTTCATCCGAGAACAGGAAACCGCAGAACGTTTTTGGCAATCGGTGGAAAGTCTCTGGAGTCACATTTTTGCGTCATAAGTCGCTCGCGTCACTTTGAATGGCGCACCGCGGCCATGCAGCTGCGTCGTAGCGCAACGTAGGGGTTGCGGGCGCGTTTAGGTCAGTTTGGGGGGGGGTGAGGCTGCGTACAAGCCGGGGGGCTTCACCATGCATTACATAGGTGGGGTCTACTGTGGTCATCATCAGGAAACCCTCCCTGAGAATTGCCACGCAGCCATCGCTGGAGGACGGGAAGTGGCTGCAAAGAGACTGCAGGAGATCCTCAGCGCTGAGACGGGACGGCGAATGGAAATAAAGAATTTTATTTTATTAAAAATGAGAACAATTTATAACACAGAAAACATGGAAACTGAGAAAAACACCTGAAAACGCCCAGAAGATGCAGCCGGGTTATACTGAGAGTTGTAGTTCTCATCCACTGCTGGGAGTTGTAGTTCTCATCCACTGCTGGGACTTGTAGTTCTCATCCATTGCTGGGACTTGTAGTTCTCATCCACTGCTGAGAGTTGTAGTTCTCATCCACTGCTGAGAGTTGTAGTTCTCATCCATCGCTGGGACTTGTAGTTCTCATCCATTGCTGGGACTTGTAGTTCTCATCCACTGCTGAGAGTTGTAGTTCTCATCCATCGCTGGACTTGTAGTTCTCATCCATCGCTGGGACTTGTAGTTCTCATCCATTGCTGGGACTTGTAGTTCTCATCCACTGCTGAGAGTTGTAGTTCTCATCCACTGCTGAGAGTTGTAGTTCTCATCCATCGCTGGGACTTGTAGTTCTCATCCATTGCTGGGACTTGTAGTTCTCATCCACTGCTGGGAGTTGTAGTTCTCATCCATCGCTGGGAGTTGTAGTTCTCATCCACTGCTGAGAGTTGTAGTTCTCATCCATCGCTGGGAGTTGTAGTTCTCATCTGCAGTTCTCATCCACTGCTGGGAGTTGTAGTTCTCATCCACTGCTGGGACTTGTAGTTCTCATCCATTGATATGAGTTGTAGTTCTCATCCATCGCTGGGAGTTGTAGATTTCATCCTCTGCTAGGACTGCTGGGAGTTGTAGTTCCTCCATAGCTTCCCCATCCTGGCGCTCTGTATCCCTGGCAGTGCCAGGAGCTGCAGGTCCTCACCCCTCAGCTGTCCCCTTGGGCTCGGCGTCAGAGCTGCGGGTGCCATTTCCGGCGGTGCAGGTGGCGGGATCGGGATACCAGCGGAATGTGTATCTGGCAGCACTCCGCCGCTCATCGCTGCTGGATAATGTGATGTAATCGCCTCCGACGGCTCGGATTTCCCGCGGAGTTCCACGCCAATCCCGCCTCCCTCTACAGCCAGGAAGGAAAGATGTCCCCAGCACACCGAGGATCACCAATACGGGGCCAAAGGTGGTAATGAACCATCGCAGTTACAGCCAGGCAACATTTCGGAGTCCCGCAGGACCCCTTCATCAGGCAGGACCCCCTCATCAGGCAGGACCCCTT